ATCAACATTGTACAAATATTTACAGTAAAGTGAGCCCAGATTTTGGATTGACTGGGCGAGCCTTTTCTGTTTATGTAGAAATATATCTGTAATAGAGCCTGCATTTTGAACATTAATTATCATTAGTTTACACAATTTGTGCATAATATAGCAATGACATTTTTGAATTTTAATCAACTGTCTGTACAAACATATTTAAATAAACAAGAAGATTACGCATGATTAGCATAAGGAAAGGAATGTTGGTTTTTTTCGTGTTATGAGAATGAAAGACGCGAGTAGTGTGATTGGGCTGCGTTATGAGCGTAGGCAACTCGCCCATCCGCATCCAAATTTAATATAAAACTAAAATAAAAAACGTAAACGGGATTAATAAAAAACAAGTTTGTATGCAGCGACAAGTAGTCAACGGAAACTTTTATGCAGACATATAAATTTGTTTATTTGCCACATAAAATGAAATGTTATTTATTTCAAACTTTTAGTGACACGCTAAATAAACATTCAAGTTACGTGATCTCTATAAAATCAATACTATAATTATAAAGAGTGATGATCAAACTCTTCAACGTATTAGTGTCAGGGGAATTATTTGATCGCCACGCCGTTCAACACGCACAACATCTTGGATTATCGATATATCTTATATGATAATAGGATTATACCGATACTATTTATGAAACTGTGCTATCTTCGATATTTGTAGCAGTAATTATGACTTGCAATTTTTTATCCGATGCAGGAGAAAATAATTATATATATATTGTCTTTTTATTAATAATATTCTTATTATGTACGTATAAACAAAAACTTCTCATTCGGATCGCATAACGTATATACATATGTTCACCATAATGTCTCATATACTTAATTTCATGCTTCTCTCATATAAAACGCTAATCTGTTCAGCAAAAAGAAATGGGCTTATTATAATCCAAACTTTTTGCTCGCTAATTTGTTAAAAATAATAATACTGTCACTGGTCGGACGGGCTATTTGGTCTTTTTTCTCCCGTAACTCCTTGCGTATAATCATCATAGAATCAAATTCTTGGTAATGATATTATGACAAGTTTATTGGATTTTGGACAACGTTGATATTACGTTATAGGTACATATTGCATTTACTTCATGCAGTTCAATAGTTAAAATTGCCAAGTACATCTGTAATTCATACGATAAATTGCTTGATGTTGGTGGAGTAGAGGCAAATTTCTTCAACTATTGAAAATGAATTATGTCTAATATAACGTAATGTTTGTCTCGTTTAACTGTATCGTCGTACGATCAGGTCGACACGTTTACAGTCTAGCCGTATTTAATTTAATATTAATATCATCACACGATGAAAAAAATACGATCTTCATGTAAATCATTATTATTGTACGATTGACAGTCAAAGTCGCAAAATCAGCATAGAGACAAAACGACTAACCGTAAACTGATCGTATGATCATTTACCGCTAACTGAAATGGTTGCTAGTAATTATACACACAATTATAAATTATTGACATCTAATATCGAAACTAGAAGGTCACCAAGTCTTATTTAAAAGTTTTGATCAAGCGACTCTATAGAACACATTTTGTTAAGAATACAATGCCTTTAATAGTTGTACTAGTTGATAACATTTTATCTAATCTACATATAATATTTCCCTATTACTATTGGAGTCCAATATTTGGGTCCAAGGAACGAGCAGAGAGTTTGTACAAGTGGCTCTCGATATAAGAGTTCTTCGATATATGAAAATAGCTTATAAGAAGGTTTTTTGCTGGACCCGATTTTTACTATGAAAAATTTTCCCCATATTAATATAAGAAAGTTTATTATAAATCTCTCGATATAACACCAAAATTTTCCTATTTCAGTATGTTGTGAGACCACCTCTGCATAAACTATAAGACCGGCATTCTTCCGGACACTGTGAAAAATTCGATCACATGAATTTCTCTGTGCGGCACATGATCTCGACCAATGATTGTGATTGATGATGATGACATTATTGATTGCTCCGGACCACAACGGTTCCCGTTTCCTAGTATTAATACTAATTTGGTGCCGATTTATCGTGTGAACCCAACAGAAGAATTTCTTATTAATTTTAGACGATACTGTAGAAATTCAATCCCTTATTGACCGACTGCCTATAAATGAAAACAATGAAAGCATACCTAACGATAGTGAAATAATTGAAGCAGTACTCAATAGTAATAGTAATGTAGAAGAAGAGTATAATGAAAGTATTTCTCATAATGAAGTTATCAGTAACATTAATAATATTCTCCGTTTTATCAATCAAAATAAACAACGACATTAAAGTATATCGGTCTTTTATTCAAAGGCTGTGCCGTTTTACATAAAAAACGCGTAGTATATGACAGTAAACGTAAAAGGCAAATAACTCTAGACAGATACGTGGATCAAATAAAGTTTTGCTATAAGCAAAGTTTTATCCCCATCAAACAACGATAAGAACTGTCTTATAACGGGTGACTCTCGATAAAGGAATTTGCTAGGTCTGATCACTTTCTTATATCGAGAGCCACTTGTATAATCTTCGATGACACGTTATTAACGCGCTTACCCTCAACGTGACCCGATCTTTTTCAACAAGTAAGGAGGTTTGTTGCATTTCACTTGATAAATAATGTTATCGTGCTATAATTTGATGCTGAGTGTCAAATGACAATAAAAGGTTTGTCTCTTGTGCGTATTAATATACAGTAAGAATCGAATCGCATAAACAGAATGCGCGTTTTGCTATTTCTTTTTCTTTCCAATTACCATCACTGTCTATTAAATAAGCTGCATTTACTATTTATGCGGCCAAACCAGAAGAACGGGGCTTCTCTTATCCAAATTGGCAACCAACGTTGCTCTCCCTCTTCAGCTGACGTAATCGGAAAGGGCATACATAGACCAAATGCAAAATATATATTATATATTCTTATTATAACCGTGTTTCCATTGTTTATACACCAAATATTACATTAAGTTCTAATTCCTACATCAAAAAAATCAAAATTCTATATCACTATTTATATCTCAAATTAACCCGTCAAGCTTGAAGAAAGACTTCAACAGCCGTCTTCGCTGGCTTGCCCTTATTAAGTAGATACAGGTAAACTCTACCCGGGGGCATGATATTTCCATTTGGCGGCATTTCAACTAGCGCATTAAATACATTTCCTGCCTGTGTTACACTTTTGACTTTAATTTTTACATATCTCATGCTCATGTGCTGCGAATGAGTGGAAAATCCGTGATTCATCAGAGCGGCCGTAAACTGTGGATTACCTGCGCTGGTCGACACTGTTGCAGTCACTATTATTTTCGTGCCATATTTAACTCTAATAGGGGTCTCGCTATTCAATATTGTCGATCCTGCAACCGCGGTGATCACTGGCTGTGGAATTGTAGTCAACAAGTACGGTGGAACAAATCTCTCGGCACGATACTCGGTGGGGAAAATACCCTGAGGAAAGTAGTCTGAATTTGGATTACTTCCGGAAACGAATACACTTCCGTCAGGGACCAACGTAACCGAGGAATGATACATTCGCGGTATTGTAGTAGGGAAGAGCTGCGTCCAGGATTTGGCGTTTGGATTATAGAGAACTGGTGTTAATACTGGCTTGTTAGCCAAGTAGGAGTGTCCTCCGGATCTGGTCTTCCTGGCTTTGAGGCAGAGGGAATTAAGATGAATTGTAATTATTTAAATCGAGTTGAATGAGAGCAAAAGGATAACGTTAGTAATGTGAATTAATACATGATATGCATTTGTTCATTCCATGTAATTATAACTATCACTATTTGATAGATCTTTCATTGCAATACTCACCATATCCAGCGTATCCTACTTCACCTCCATTAAGACACATGACGGTACCATCTGCCAAGAAAACACAGTCTGGCAAAACTCTCGGGAATCCACCAAAGCTGTCCATCTCCCATTGGGGATTAGGGCTAGCGAGATTAATTCTTCCGCAGCTGTCAGCTGCTGGAGAAGTAGTCGACATACTCGTACTTCCGCCACAAATCATTACTACGGGGGTGTAACCATTTTTGTAATCCAACGGAAGCAATACGGACGTTCCAGTCAATGGATATGAACGCGGAGGACCGGGTAGGTCGGGAAGCTTTGTAATCTCAGTCTCGGTAACATAATCCCAAAGGACGGCTTTATTGTTCGCAAAGAGGAAGAGTGTGTTCTGGGTCGCGGGACCGGGCACAACGTGTATTACTGGATAAAGATTATACGGGAAAGTGTCGATAAGGAACTGAATTGGCACCCCTGGTGGAGATTTGTCCTTGGGATAGAATTCGAAGGTCGGGTTTGATATGGATACCTTGTTTACACCCGTTCCTTTTGTTGAGCCACCGAGGATAAATACTCGACCATCCGGAAGGCTATACAAGTTGTAGTAGTAGATAAGCATTTAGCGACATATAGTGGACGCGATACACGAAACCTCAGTTTTCTTTCCGAGCGTATATTTCAATTTTCATTCCTTCGGGACCACTATATCAATTCTTTTACCAAGATACTTACGTGACCATACCGTTATACCATCTAGCAGAATTCAAATATGTTGGCCACTCGAGCCAATCGCAACTTCCGTCCATACATGGTGTGAACTGACGAACAGTTTGGAATCCGCTCGCCGACTTGTAGTCACCAGGCTATCGATTGAAGAAAAACAATGAGCGGGTTTGGCGATATAATTATGTGTGTAAAAACTCCTTAAAACGGTTGTTGAATAGCCATCCCGCCTGCAACAAACGCTTACATTCCTTCCCTATCCAATAATTTCTGATGTCTACTTACCGTGGATTCAGCACCCCCAGTCTCAAGAAGCGTGCCATTTCCGAGGAATGATCCAGCAGAACAGAAGGTATTGGTTTTGAGGTCTAACACACGGAAGAGATTGGTATTGAGGTCGTATTCGACAGAATGTGCATTCAAGCCATCTGAAGTAATCGCAGAGGGGTTTGGCTCGGCTGGGTGGTAGAACGAAAAATAACAAAATATTTAACATTATGTTGTGGATGCGAGATATTGGGTTTGTCAAAATTTCGATGCGTAAACGCGAGGAACATGACCGTCGAACATGATTACCACACAAACATGCTTTCCCTAAATTTTTTACGTACCTTTATCAATAATTAAGATCTTAGTGGGAGAAGTAAGTACGATATGCATGGCGGCAATGCCAGTATGCCCAATGACCTGCCAGGTGCCTAGTTGGTTGTTGCCAGTTATTGGACCCTTTGGAATTAACGGTGCGCTGGCAGCGGGAGCAGGAGAGGCGGCGTTGCCTCCTGGAACAACACACTTCCCCCCGAAAGAGTACGTAGCCTGGCATCCAGATTGACAGTGTAATGTTGTGTTGCCGCACCTGTTGGAAAAAAAAAATAGTGTCAAAAATGCAATACGACTCTAAAGTTATTATTGATCTGCTAAATGATATTCGGCTCTTAACTAAATCAGGTTAAACTGGTTCCCTAATAAACTTACCATCCAAAAGACGAACAGCAAGGCTCGGCAGCAGTTCCACAAGTCAGCCCTACATTCATTCCACAATTCTGAGCATTAGCAGAGAGCGCGAGGAGGAATAATGACAGGAGCTTGATAGATTTCATTATGAAACTGTTGGAATTGTGTTTAAAATAGTCGGAATGAATGTGATAAGAGAATGAAATGAGTAGAGTGTAGGGTGTAGGGTGTAGGGTGTAGGGTGTAGGGTGTAGGGTGTAGGGTGTAGGGTGTATGGTGTAAAGGTACGGGTGTAGGGTAGAAGGTGTGTATAAGACAGTAATCTAGAGAGTGCGATTTACTGTTGTCCTCCTTATACTTATTTTATATAAATTGTAATGAGAATAAGCTTTACACCGGATAAGA